TTTCGACCTTTAACCACCGATTAAGGGGTGAATGTGAAATTTGGATCATTTGTACAGAGCAACATTTACAGAAGGTATAATAAATTTAAAAACAATCGTTAAACAAACAAAGAAAAATTTTCATTTGTTGAAAATTATTATTTTTGAGTTTTTGAAAAACTGGAAAGTTTCAATATCAGGTAGAATTACCTCCAGATTTTGTGAGCGATGATTTCTGGAAGCCCTGTATAATAAATTTAACTTTTCCCACCTTCATATGTTGAAAATTTTTGAGTTGTAAACTTTAACGTAAAACCTAGGCACTTGACCGTTTTCGTTAAATATTTGTTGAAAATTAAAGTGAATAATCGGTTAATTAAATTGTGTATTAATCTAAATTAGCAATAAAGAGTGGTGAAAATAGCAAGCTCATCTGTCACCAACACGTGTTTCATTTGCTTCCCTTCTCGCTTATATTCGAATGAATCCCATTGTAATAGCGACTGGATTGATTATCTCTCACGCTTGACTCCAAATTCAGGAAATCGACTTTGCATAAACCACCCCTCAGAAGGAAGCTGGAACGTTTAGGCGTACAAATTGAATAGATAATAATTTAGAGATGCGATCCACACTATGGCATAGAGAGGTGTTAACTTGAGTAAACCGATATGAGCCACATTGAGCCATTTACATTTTGATGGGAATGGAGTTTCTTTTGTGCCACAGACGGTTTTGTTTCCCGTTTCACCGAATATCCGTCTGTATTAAGACTGGCCCTTGCAGAACTTCGTAATTTCTAACAGTCGATGTGGAAACAAGGGTAAATAACGATTATGGTCTCTACATCTAAATTTACTGTTTACAAATGCCTCCAACACAGTTTATTGGGGTTACTCGGCTTGAAATTGCGAATTTAGTAGTTTGATGGGCGTAGTTCTGTGTAACACCAAAAGAAGTTGCAATAAAGTTTGATCAAATATACAGTGCGTCCTATTTAACAATTTAAGAGTTTCATGTATTGCAGCAAACAAAAAAAAACGTCATTAATGTATATTTGTGTCAACTGTGGAAGGCTTCTTAATAATTGTTGCACCACAGGAAAACTGCATGTTTCTCATGCCAAAGAAAACCCGATTTTCTCTTTCAGGTTTTTTGGTTTTGTGCCAATTTTTTTACCAATAAGTTGAGAGTTTGTTGAGTGATTAGAATGAGCTTTTTGTACACACATTAGTAGCCACATTTTTGCGTTCTACTGGAATTAATTGGCCACAGTAGTGGAAATTCTAGAGTGTGAACCGTTTTCTTGGGTTTTTGAAGTTTTTTCTCCTTAACTTAACTGCCACAGCAAATTTGATTTAAAATAATTAATTACCAACAAATTTGACACAATAAAAACTTCCTTGTTTGCCCTAAAATTTATCGTTTCCGACCCTACAACACCTTGAAAAAGTGCTTCTGTAACTTAAACGGTTTCTAACATATTCTCAAAGAGTCTTCAAATAAATAAGTCTTGTAAACAAAAGGACATAAACCAAGGTCAATTGTAGTAAGCAATCAGGTTAACTGTAGTGACTAAATTAAATCATAAACTTTCAGTGTGTAACAACTGGCTACCGCAAAAACGGATTTCGATAATGCAAAAAAAATAATAAATATACCTCAAGAGATTTGATCACACCCACGAAAAGACTTATTTTGTTTTTCCACTTATGAAGATAAACAGCGAAGGCGTTTGAGGATTCAGGTAAAAAATCTGCCCTCGATTGTCTGAATTCAAAACCAGCTTAAACTTTTTTCGGATTTTCGATGAAATCAAGCAATTTATACCGGATGAAAATGCATATTCCAGCTCTTCAATAGGATTGCCAAACTTTCATTGTTTTCAATTAATCGACCATTTAAAATCAGGCCTACATTTCTTGTTCCGATAGCTAATAAATCTTCATTATACACGTAGACATGTTGGTATTTAAACTGTTACATCTAAAATATGTTTATTGTCGGAGTTCGGTGGGAAGTTTCAAAGAATTCTTGCAATAAATCACGGCAAACGACACTCTGTGTTGAAATTTGAAAAAGGATAAGAACATAATTGCACAGTATTTTCTGTATTTGATATTTGATATTGGTTGATTCGTTGATGTGTTATATGGAAGAGCATTTAACGATCATATCAGCTAAACGATGACAGCCTTTAGATGGTAATTTCAATATATGTTTTCAATAAGTGAGTTTTTTTCTATATGAATGACTCAAAAAACAGTAATGTGTGAAAATGTATTCGTTTCCCATTCTGTCCCCATCTGTTTGAAATTAGCTCTGAACACTTTTATTTATAATTCAAATTTTCTACTTTTTGTTGCTGCGATTTGATGCATTTTCACATTTTTGCAAAATTCCTTTCGTCTTTCTAACTGAAAATGACTCATTACTGAGACATCCTGAGCAAAATGTTGAAAAGTGTGTAAAAAAAATTGTGTAAAAAAGTAGAAACGCAAGAAACCGTTATTTGTTTTATTTTTTCGAAACTAATTCGAAAATATTCGATTGATCTAATTTGAATATGTGAATTTAATTCTGTTTACTATGAAATGTTTTTGAATGAAAGCAACTTAAAAATGCGTCAATTATGTGGTCAAAAAGTCCAAAATATCCTTTAATGCGCCAAAGTCCAAAGGACGTTTTCGCCAAGTAATAGGCCTTGGTTCTAGTAAATACGACATTGAACATTTTAAAAAATTTCCTGCTGAAATTATGATATAAAACACGAAATTTTCTTGGAAACATACCTATAACTGAGGACTGAATAAACGGTAATCATAAACGTTCCAAAATCTATTTTGTGCAAGAAATTTCTACTCCCTGTGTAATTCTAATCGAAGAGTGAGTTGCGGCAGCAACTTTAAAAGCTATAAGAAACTAGAACCAAACTTTAACGCCTGTTAAAAATGTATTTCCAGTTTATTTTTTAAATAGTTAAATTTACACATTTTTTAAAGAATTTTAAGTGAAATTTCTAGTTTGTTAACATAACTGATTTAACTCGTGAATTAATTGTAAATGTAATGGTAAGTAAGTGCAATTTTAGTTAACATTTTCAACTAACACTTTTACTTAAAAAAATTCTACCGAAAAATGAGATATTACATCAACAGGACATCGGTAAAGACATTGTAAAAACCGAACAAATCGAGAAACAATCTGGAAAAATGTGCTGCCGAACAAGTAATCCGTTCATAAGTCCTGTTCATACTTTATGGAAAATCGGTTGAAAATTGCTTTCTCGAATTACATCGAGAGTATCAAAACAGCAAACATGTAAACTTCTGAAATTGTTAATTCACTTTCGGGTGAATATTGCTTCGGCAGTAGCGAGTTTTTTTACGAAAATTGTTCATCATTTTCCTCTATGGGAGAAGAATTCAGGCTGTAGTGCTTCGATTCGTTAAACATGAATGTTTCGCAATATTATCCGCAATAGATAATTCGTTTTTACTTAATCCGAGTTTATTTGCAATAATTCCAGTTCTTGTACTTGGAGTATGCACATTCTCAAGTCTTCTCCATCGTCACATATTTGCGATGTTTTTAGGTGCTGGATGAGTTTACAAAGGAAAAGCTTCTGTTAATATATTCACTAGCTTGTTAGAATAACATTTTTTCATTTTAGACTTATTGAGTGAGTTTTACGATATAGACTCTAGTAATTCAAGAAAAATGTCGCAATAGCAACATAAAAGAGATCAAAATGTGCAGAAGTAAAAAAATTATTACCAAAAAAATTTTGTTTCAATTTTAATTTTTTCAAATCATTCAAATCATTTCATTTTCAAAATCAGTTTCACTCAAGAATTCTCCTATATAATAATGTATACATTATCCTGTCAACTCTGTCGACTCAAACTATGTAAATAAAGTCCATACAAGCACAAATTACAGAATTTCATCAAAAGAACCAATCGCAAACTATATCTATATATGCCAAATGGAACAAGATTGGTTCATATTTTACTGTTAAATCCACAAATGAATTATATTATATGAGAATAATGAGCAATGATAATAGCGACTGGCTATAAGTCTGAGTTTATTTTAGGGGCTTTAAATTCCAAACTAATGCATAAAGCCGCCCGCTTTTGTTCGTTAATTTAAGTAAATTAAGTTTCCCTTGTGAGTATAGAATACAAACAGGGGGCAAGGATTACGTTCAAGCCTATTATTTGGTGGTTTAAATTGTATGCAACAATTTAAAATCATCAGCGGATAAAGGAAATAGTCTATTACATTATTTGAGTTTTACCAGCACCTTCAAAGTAAAATATCCGATATTGTACCTTTCCCGCAATAAATCTGCATTTAATCTTATTGTATTCGCTTACATACCTATTTATTTCCCAGTTTGGTATCCTACTGGTAAATAACACCAGCTGTGCGTTGCTGTTCCCGCATTGTGAACAAGATATTAAATTCCTAACGTATTCGACGAAAATGTGAAATCACTCCTCACATAATCCGTCGCCCCAAACCTGATAAAAATAATTTTAATGAACTGTTGCAGGGCAATTTTCCATAGGTATTTCCTTGAATAGCGAAACTTTTAAATGGAGGCTTTGTTGAAAAATACCAGTTGTTAAATTAGATTTCAGAGCGCAGGTGAAGCCTCAGAGACATATGAATGACAAAAGTACAAATGTGATGAGTATCATCTGGAAATTTCCATCTATTTTTAAGCAGCTTTGTGTAAAATGTACTCGACCAACTTGCAGACTACACAACGTAATAATGTACTAAATTGGCTCCAATTTGGAAATTTGCCCGTGAGTGAAGAGAATTTTTTAGAATTTGACCTTTCAAAGTACGATCTCCGATAATACTTGAAGAGTCTTTTGTTGTGTGATTTTCCAATTTTCCTCTGGAACAATGAGGGTCGTAGAGCGAAAGTATATTTGCGCAACAGTGAAAGTTTGATGCCTGAATAGAAGAAACAACCTCTTTATTATTCGAAGCATAAATTGATGTACTATAAGAAAGTCTAACCAGAAATATAGCAGAAGAAAACTGTTGATGTTGTGTCGTTGGCAAACGTGAATTTTTGCTATAATAAACAGGGTTAAAGTTTTCAACTAACAATAATCGCACCTCGGATAGACCTCATTGGTTACGATAATGCCACTGTGCAATGCGATAAAAGCAAAAGCAATAAATTCAGAGTCTTGCGATAGCTTTACTGCGAATAGGACGTGCTCGGTAGGAATCCGGACATTCCAATCAAAAAAAGTTTGTTTTGTCGATAGTAAAATTTAAAGCGCATTTCGGACAATATACAGGGCTTCATAGCTAATAAGCATGGATCCTGAGAGTTCGCGGGAGTCCGAATCGGACCACGCTTCCCAGGAAGGCTACTTCCTTAGACCGAAATCCAAGAAAAGAGGTCGAACATCAAAATCTAACCCTTCCTCACCGCCAACACCAACGCATTTGTCCAAAAAACCAGCAACCGACAGGGCTGAAACCTCCATGGCTTCAACGAATCAGCAACAACAATTGTCACTCACCTCAAAAGCAGCCGTAACAACAAAAACAACAACAACAACAATGCCACCACAACATCAACGATTCAACTTCCCACACACCTTCGTAGTAATAGCAACCAAACACAACATCTAGAATTCAATTGGCCCTAGAATGGGAGAAAGTGCGGGAAGGAAACAAGGATGTCATCATCAAGAGAGAGAATGACTTCC